GGATGCCGGGAGCCACAGCCACTCAGTCTTGGAAGGGTTGAGCCTGAGCCTGTTCCTCCCCATCCAGATCCGCACAGCCTCCAGGCACTGGGACATCACTTCAAGGGCATCGTTGGGGTGGCCTGGGGTGGAGATGTACAGCTGGGTGTCATCAGCGTACTGGTGGTATCTCACCCCAAAGCCACGGATGATCTCGCCCAGCGGCTTCACATAAATGTTGAACAGAAGGGGCGAGAGGACCGACCCCTGAGGCACTCCACATATAAGAGGCCTTGAGGTCGACCTCTGCCCCCCTGCCAACACGAACTGCGACCGGTCGGAGAGAAAGGAGGAGAACCACCGTAATACGGTGCCCCCCATCCCCAACTCTTCCAACCGGTGCAGCATGATACCATGGTCGATGGTATCAAAAGCCGCTGAGAGGTCTAACAGGACCAGAACAGAGGAACAACCCCTGTCCCGAGCCCTCCAGAGATCATCAACCAACGCGACCAATGCCGTTTCCGTGCTGTGTCCAGGCCTGAAACCCGACTGGAACGGATCTAGATAGGATGTTTCCTCCAAGAATTGTGGAAACTGTCGCGCGACCACACTCTCAACAACCTTCGCCAGGAAGCGAAGATTGGAGACAGGACGATAGTTGGCCAATATTGCCGGATCCAGGGACGGCTTCCTGAGGAGAGGCCTCACCACCGCTTCTTTCAAGGCGGCGGGGAAGTGACCCTCACTCAACGAAGCGTTGATAACACCCTGGAGCCAGCCTCGTGTAACCTCCCGGGAGGCCAGTACCAACCAGGAGGGACACGGGTCCAGTAAACATGTGGCCGCACTAAGTCTCCCCAAAATCCTGTCCACATCATCTGGAGTCACAGCATCAAACTCCTCCCAGGTAACATTCTCAAGACTATTCCTCGTCACCCTGCCCTGATCTACCCAGTCAGAGTCCAAATCCCCCCGGATCTGAGCGATTTTGTCATACAGGTATTGTCCGAAATCCTCCGCCCTGCCTTCCAAGGGATCCTCCCGCGCTCCCGGATGGAGCAGGGAGCGGGTTACCCTGAACAGGGCGGCTGGACGATTCCCTGATGACGCAATAGAGGCGGAAAAGTAGTTAAACTTTGCTGTCTTTATCGCCACTAGGTAGGTCTTAATATGCGACCTTACCAGTGTTCGGTCAGATTCAGCGAGACTGGCCCTCCAACCGCTCTCTAGGCGTCTTTTCCGGCGTTTCATCTCCCTCAGCTCCTCGGTGAACCAAGGAGCCGCGAGGGATCGACACCGGGTCAGAGGCCGCAAAGGCACGACTCGATCCAAGGCCCCACCAGCCGCCCGATCCCAGGCAGCTACCAGGTCCTCGTCCGAGTCGTGTGCCAGATCTTCAGGAATTGGCCCAAGCTCTGTCTGGAACCTATCAGGATCCATCAGGCGCCTGGGGCGGATCCATCTAATTGGGTCCGCCTCCCTGCGGCGGGGTGTAGCGGTTCGAAGGTCCAGACGAAGGAGTGAGTGATCTGACCATGACAAGGGTTTCATGTCTATATCCCCTATAATAAGACCACTCAACCACTGGCCAGAGACAAAAATCAGGTCCAGCGTGTGTCCCCCCCTGTGAGTGGGGCCATGAACTAACTGGGTCAGGTCCATGGCCGTCATGGAAGCCATGAACTCCCAAGCCATCTCTGACGTTTCACCAACAGACGGCAGATTGAAATCACCCATGACCATAAGCCTGGGTGTATCAACTGCCACCGTGGCTATCACGTCGAGTAGCTCGGGCAGGGCCGTTGCCACGCGGCAGGGAGCCAGGTACGTAAGCAGCAACCCCATCTGAACCCCATGACCCCATCTCACAAAGAGGGACTCACATCCGGCAATCTGTGGCACAGTGGTCTCCCTCGGACACAGACCTTCGTTAATAATAACCGCCACCCCCCGCCCCTCCCCTGGGCCCTCGGCTGATGGAATGCTCTGAAGCCTGGTGGACACATCTCAACCAGAGGGACCCCTCCCTCCGGGCCCAACCAGGTCTCCGTAATACCCACCAGGTCCGCTCCCCCCTCTTGAATAAGATCGTAAATGAGGGGGGCCTTATTTACCACAGACCTGGCGTTGCACAGCATCAGCCGGAGGCCCAGGTCCTGAGTATCTGAGCCACCTAATATCCGAGGGGAGCCTTGAGGACCGGGGCGTGCAATCGCTCTCAAGTAGCGAGTGCGCACCCCCGGCACAAGATAAGGTCCTCTGCTCCCGCCATATCTGCCCCTCCCATCCACCGTGCTGATGACATCCCCAATCCCTCGTCCTGCGCCCTCCAAACCGTTACCCTGTGCCAGGCTGGGCCCTGACCTAGGTGGATTACCCCCCCCATCCCCTTTGGTCGCCCTCCCAGTTCCCCTTAAAAGATTATTAAAAACCCTAATTAAAAAACCCCTCAATCCCCGCTTTAAAACATGCCACCTCTCGGGGCTCCAAAGCCCGTCCTTAAGGTAGGCCTTCGATAGAGTGGAAGGCCATCGCCGCGAGAGGGGGACATCTCGCAGCGCAAGCAAATCTGCCGAGGTATAAGCCATACAAGTATGATGAGATGGAAAAGGGGAACCTTGGATGTCAGCAAGATTTAAAGATAGTCATTGAGGTGAGAGATGGCAAAAGAGGCTGGCCAGGATGAAGCTGGGGCCCCTTCACTCTCTCACAGTGATGGGGCGACCAGATCAGATGGTTGCAATGCAGGCGGATGGCCACAGCCGTTCTCTCACCGCGGCTGGATGTAAAAGGCCAACAATAGTCACTCTCTCCCTGCAGATGGAGCAGCAGTCCTTGACCTGGACTCTCAGCTTCTCCCTCCAGCCTGCAATCTCTCCTCCCCCGAGCCAAGGCCTAAAGGTGGAAATCGGGCGGCAGGAATAAACTAGCCAGCAGCAGAAGGAGATAGAGAACAAACATAAAAACATAAAAATCCAGGAGGGTGATAATAAAGTCCCAGAGTCAGTAGTGATGGAAAAATGGGCCGACCTAATAGAGAGTCCAGGTAGCAACGGGGGGAGGCCATTTTCATGGGGGGTGGGGGCGAATCCAAGAGGGAAACCAGATGGTAATTGGCAATCCCCCTCTATCACTCCCCAACTCCCTTCGATGTTCCGGGCCAAATCACCCCCAATAGTCCTGCCCGTTTTCTCTGAGCAAATTCTGCCACGATCTTCCCAGGTCTCGGTCCATGTAGGGGGTTTTCAGGCGCAGCTGACCGCTGGGCCATACACCCCGAGCCTCAAATCTGGGCTAAATAACTGTTTGAAGCAGCCAACAGGCCTCCGAGTCTCCGGGTGCCGGGTCCATCGCCTTCCCGCACCCCCCCTCCCCCGGCAGCTCAGCTTTTTTCCGGCCACCGTCAAATCGAAGGGAGGCTTGGGTCGCTATAGATGATTCCCTCACCTCCCTCAGTTCTCCATCCGGCTCAGTTAGACTCCGCAGACCACCTTAACTCCTTCACCTCCTACAGTCGGTCCGTAAGATGAAATGCCCGATCTCCGGGGCTCCGCGGCTGTGGAGTCATTGTGGAGGCCGCCATTGCCGCTGCCCTCCTTACAGCGCTCCGATTACGTCTCCTCGCTGTAGCTCTGCCATCCCAGGGCCAATCCCGATAAGGGATGGCACATCCGAACCATCAGACCATTGGCATGCTGAACGTGGGGCTCAAGATCACTAAAACAGCCTCCGACGTTTCCAAAGTTCTCCTTTTCCCCATCAACCTCAACAGCGAGCCCCTCGGAGGTCCGGCATCTTACGCATGCGCAGGGATTTACCTGAAGATTTTAAAAGCCTCTGACGATCCTAGCTGAGTTGCGCGATCATCAGAGGCTTTTTTTTTTTTACTTTTAAAAGCATTTTTTCGGCCAAAGAGGTTGCAGGAAAAAATGCTTTTAAAAGTAAAAAAAACAGTCTCTGATGATTACACAGCTCAGCTGGGCATGGGGGTGGGGGCAGGGATTTTTGCTACTGGTTCTCTGAACCACCTGCCGCCATCACTACTGGATCGGGCAATCTGGTCTGAACTGGGTGCATTTAACCCCTGGTAGAACCTATTATCACTAAAAACACAACACAGAATCCAGGCTACCAGTAGGCAACATTTACATTTAAATCTTTAATATAATTCATAGAATTATTTCTTTAAAGCTCTGTGAAGTACCCCTTTTGACTCTGAACACTGTTAGGGAAGAGGTCATCCACATTTCTGGAGACACGGTATTCCACAAGGTGGGAAGTGTCTAAACAAGAAATTTCAATTCAATTTCTTATGCATTTGTGGAGGGAATCTTAATATCTTGGCTCGAAACAACCACACCAGATGGGACAGTTCTGTTTGAAGGACCCATAGAGTATGTAAAGCAGCACTTTAAGAGGTTCTTTAGTAGCCATGGAAATGCAAGAAATGGATGCTCCAAGACTTTGCCTAAACAAAAAATGACAGTTACTATAAATGCAATAAATAAATAATATATCTGGTCTGACACCAAACACAGTGGGCTGGATTTATCATAGTGGGGCTGATTCATATCAATCATTCTGCAGACCCAAGTGCATTTTTTTTGTTTTTAGTTGGAGGAACTTTGAAAGAAGATATTGCTATGTATAAACAACATTCTCTATTGCTTGAAGTCAGGACATGAAAATAAGCAATTTTTGGAATAACTTGTTTTGATGCTGGAGTGCTACTAATGAATTTATGAACAATACGTTTATAAGAGGTTATAATATTGTGGCTCATCAGACAGTAACTTTTTCTTCTTCTTCTTCTTGTCTTCAGAGAGGGGCGGCATACAAATTGAATTAATAATAATAATAAATAATAATAATAGCTTTCCTTTCTGGAATAAACTGTAATATGGGGGAAAAGAAACACTTCATAATAATTATTCCCTCTTTTTCTTTCTCCAAAATGCCAAGAAAAAAATTTACACCCAAATGTAAATATGTGAAAAGAGAAATGTGAGGCAACTCACCATGATAGATCTTTCATAATAATCACTCTCTTTATCAACATTTACTGGATATCCATTTAAAAGCCAAATAAAAGTCAGGTCTAAAGAAGGATCATGGGATGCAAGACATTGCATGGTAGCATTCAATCCAACAATGACATCAACATTAGTTGGTGCTAATGTTATCCTTGTTGCAGCTTTGCAGTTAACAGAAAAAATGTGGTTATATATTAGCAAGTCATTAAATATGCAACAATTGAGGCTCTGATCTACTTAAAACCTGAAAAATATACAACTTTACTATGGATGACTGTATTTCAATAGCAAAAGAGATATAAAACGTTTTTAAAATTTGTGATTGTTTTGGTAGGTCTTTCTTTTCTTTGCAAATTCTGATACAGAAATGGTTTTTACTTAACCTTTCTTTCATGAATAGTATATACAGTTCTAGGCCAATCTTAGGGTCAAAGGAAAAAATTATGGCAACAACCTGTGTCGAAGATTATTCATAAGAGAGCTATTTGGGGACCAACCCAAATAATATACCCTATTTGTATCCTACTGATGAGAGAATGATCCAGCGGTGAGAGTATCATGTGAATTTATCATGCAATTACCAATTTCTTGGCAGGAATTTCTTTAGAATAATGTTCCAGATCACAGCTGAGACTAGAAGCAGCAAATACAAGCAGCAGATATTTAAATTTTTGCAAGAGGTTACTTCTAGAAAATTAATTTTCATGGGGACTTTAATAAAGTGTGGGTGAAAATTTGCATTTGTGTCAATAAGGGTAATATTTCTGCAATAAAAATGTAGGCTGGATTATATTCAAATCCTCCCCAAACCAAATTTGTGGTGTAAAGTCATGTTAGTACCATGTAAATTTACTGCAGGGTACATAAGTGAATAACAGGTTGAGCGTCTGCAATGTAATTAGTATAACATGGAAGTTCAGAATTAAATGAATTTATCTATAAATAAAATACTCAAATTGCATTGAATACATGAAATAAATTCAATTGCATTGAATACAATGCAAATTGCATTGAATACATAAAATTCTATTCTTAGTACTATAAAGAATGTGCATATTTCCTATTCCTCAATAATATTTAAAGTAACTTCTATGAAATACTCCAACATTATTTGAATAATGGTGCTATAAACAATCACTTGTTAAATGGTTAGGTGCCTAAGATCTGAATTTAATCATGTTTAAAATTATGTGACTCAGATCTAGCTTAAAGTTATATAAAATACTATTGTATAATGCTATGTGTTATTCTGAAAAAATAATTATATCATTTCTATTTGACTAGTGAAGGGATGTCAAACACAAAGTCCGTGGGCTGGATCCAGCCTGCGAGGTGATTAGATCCGGCCCGCGGAGCTGCCCTGGAAGCAGGGAATGATTGGCTCGCAGTGCCTTAGCTCAGCCCAGGCTGATCGGGTGCCGATTTACAAGCTGCTGGTAGCCATCTGGGCCAGAACACAGCCAGCCTTAGATCCGCAGGGCCACCCTGGAGCCCACAAGGGGCCACCCCAGGCCCGCCCCCATGGCGCATGCACAGGGGGTGGGGCTGAAGTGGCAGGGCAGCCACTAAGTGGCAGGATCAGATCTAAGCCAGGCATATGAAACAACACTATTTGTGTCTCAGGTTCGCCCCAGACATAGTGAGGGACTGGCTACCCCTGCCAGATGCCCCCCCCTCAGAGCACACACAGGAGGCAGTGAGCGTGTGAGGGCCGAAGGTGTCTGGCAGGAGCCCGCCAGCTGAGGGGCTCTGTAAAATGCACAGTGAGGGTGGGTCTGGGGCGCTGTGACTGCCAAGATGGCCCTAAGCAGCAGGCAGAGGCATAGGGGAGGAGGCACATTATTCAGCCTGTTAGAAATGCTGGGCAGCCATCTACCCACATGCTCCATCCCACAGTATGTCTTTGCTGCTATGAGGGGAGGGGAGGCAGGTGGCGGGGTGGGGTGGAGCCATCCAACTTCATCTTCTAACTGCGCTGCACATGTGGGGTGAGTCTTAGACCTGCTGCTCCACTCGTGAAGGCCCTAGCAAACGGGAAAAGCAGGGAGCTTGAGAGAGAGGGAGGGAGGGAGGGAGGGGGGGGAGATGTCCTGGGTGCTTTTTGTAGGTTTTTCAGCACAACTTTGCAGGTTGCAGTGAGGAAGAAAGGCTGGCTTGTGAAAGGGAGAACTAGGAGCTATAAAGGCTTGTGGTTTATGGCAATCTGATGTTCCAGAGACCAATGCTATTCCAGCCTTGAACATATCACATGATCAGGGATCCACTCTCTGATACCAATGAAAATGCCTCAATGTCCACCAAAATCCCTCCAGGTTCTGTATTAAAAGACTGTCAGTTCATCTCTTTGCCCCTCTTCTACTGTCAATTCAACTTTACTTTGCTCCTGAAATTCAGTGCAATGTAGACCTTCTCAAAATCCATCCAAACTTCTCAAAGCAAAAATAAACCTCCTACAAAGCCCAAGTGCCCAGTAACAATTGACTCTCCCTCCCTTTGCTATCATGAAAAAAATGAATTGCTGCTTGACTTGCTGAATGCAGGATCCAGTGTGGAAGGAAAAGGTTTGGCTGGCAGAGGGCTATCCAAACAAAACATTTGAGCATGGAAGAAGGGACAGGAAAGGAGAAAGGGAAAGAAGAAAGACAAAAAGAAGAAAAGATGGGAAGAGAGTAAGGAAGGAAAAATAAGGAAAGAGGGGAAGGAAGAAGAAGGAAAAATGAAGAGGGAAGGAAAATGAAAAGGAAGGAAGGAAGGAAGGAAGGAAGGAAGGAAGGAAGGGAGGGAGGGAGGGAGGGAGGGAGGAAGGAAGGAAGGAAGGAAGGAAGGAAGGAAGGAAGGAAGGAAGGAAGGAAGGAAGGGAGATTATAATGAGAATGAGGGAAGGTCTCAGGGAAGTCCTGCCTTAGCACTGGGCTGCCACAGGTTCCCCCACATGAGTTCCATGTCACACCCACCATGGCCACGTCCCCCTTAGCCCTCTGAGGTCAAACAAGACCCTGATGCAGCCCTCAATGAAATCGAGTTTGACACCCCTGGACTAGTGCAAATTGTACTCCAATACAAATAATTTTTATTATGTCTCTGACATAAAATATTCTTCCTCTCACTTTCCTCTACAAATAAATATCTATGTACTTGATTTTAACTTTTAATATATGAGTAACTATGCATCTAAAGAAGCAACCTATAGTTCAAGAAAGCTTATGTGATAATAAAAGTTCCAATTGTCACAAGACTCTTTGCTGAATGTTTTAGATCAGGGTCCCCCAATCCCTGGGCCACAGCCCATTATCGGGCCATGGCCTCTTCAGAATTGGGCCATGTGTGTGGCTGGCTGGAGTGTGCGTGTACAGCTTAACTTGCATAAGCAGCAGGCCAGCAGGCACTCATGTACATGTGCAACAGCCCTCGCACAAGTCAAGCTGCATGCCTATGCGTCAGCCCGTCACTTGCACAAGGGCTGCATCCACGCTTTTATACACCAGCCCACCACTCACACAACCCAATTCCCCTCTCCCCCTGCAGACGGGCTGCCAAACCGCAATGGTTGTGGACCTCTGCTTTAGATTAATACAGCTACTCTTCTGTAAAGTGTAAGCTCAGTGATCCACATACAAAAAGTCAGTAATCAGAATCAGAGACAAGATATAAGAAATATATATTATTTTGTTATACACAACTAAATTAATAGGCTTATCAAATTGACCCAGATTTATTTAGAAAATTGAAAAGGATTTCAACATATGCAATCTGAAGTCCATGCTTTACTTAAATTTGAGAATGTAGAGAAGTTTGAGAATTACCTGTGACTATAAGAGCAGAAGAACTGTTAGCTTTTCCTTTGTTGTTTTCCACAAAACAGGTGTAATTGCCTGCATCTACTGCTGTAACATTAATAATTTCTAGGCTGCCATCATACCATATATGTATCCTATTGAAAAAGAAATTGTTAAGAAACTTGACAATCAACAATATAATAATAAGAAAATGTGGATGGAAATGGAAGTATGGCATTACACATTACACATTACACTCCTGTCTATTACAGTCTGTTCATACCTGTGCTGCTTAACTCCAGGAAAGAGGGAGAGTTACTCAATTGCCCAAATAGAACAAACACAACTTCCAGTATTACACAGCAGTTCAATGGTGGCAAAATATAGGCAACCATATAGCTTATGCTGAACTAGTATGACTGGAGAAAAAAACCCTTTATAGGAAGCAGATGGCACCAATAGGTGTATGAAAAAAATGCCACTATTTTAAAGGTTGTATTGCCCATAAGGAGTAGACTCCTTAAAATACTTGTACACTTTTTTAGATTCATTCAAAAGCAACCACCGTCTTGAATGACAAACAGATAGGGTTGCGTTCATTCATTTCTTGTCACTCTGCGTATCTTTGTGCAATGAATAAAGGTCAAAAAATGGAAAGAGAGACACATAACTAAGGCAGGATATCAGGAGATAGCCAGAATCTGCAAAGACGAAGTCAGGAAGGCAAAGGGTCAGAATGAACAAAGACTTATAACAAAAGTCAAAGATAACAAAAAAAGTTTCTTCCAACATATAAATAATAAGAAAAAAATCAAGGAAAAAGTTGGTCCACTAAAGAGAGAAGATGGCATGGAAGTAACAGGCAACAGAGAGAAAGCAGAACTGCTTAACTCATTCTTTGCATTGGTCTTCACGCAAAAAGAAACTATAGCCCAACCTAACAGAAACATAACTGTAAAAAAGAGACTGGAAATAAAAGTTAAAATAAGCAAAAAAAATAGTAAGAGAACACCTGTCTGATCTTGATGAATACAAATCACCAGGACCTGATGGATTACATCCCAGAGTTCTAAAGGAGCTGGTCATCTCAGAACCACTGCACCACATCTTTCAAAAATCCTGGAACACTGGGGAACTACCAGAGGACTGGAAAAGAGCTGATGTGGTTCCCATCTTCAAAAAAGGAAAAAAAAACAGACCTAGGAAACTACAGATCAATCAGCCTAACATCAATACCCGGGAAGATACTGGAAAAGATAATAAAAAGTCAGATCTGCCAACACCTAGAAACGAGTAAAGTAATAACTAGCAGCCAGCATGGGTTTGTTAAAAACAGATCATGCCAAACCAATCTTATTTCATTCTTCAACATAGTGATTAAATTAGTAGACCAGCGAAATATTGTGAATATAATTAGACCTCAGCAAGGCATTCAACAAAGTAGACCACAACCTACTTTTTGGTAAGCTAGAAAAAAGTGGGATAGATAGCTTCACCACCAGATGGATTCACAACTGGCTGACAAACCATACTCAATGAGTAGTCCTTAATGGGTCTAAGTCTACATGGAGAGAAGTAAGCAGTGGGGTGCCACAAGGTTCCATCTTAGGCCCAGAACTCTTCAATGTCTTCATAAACGACTTAGATGAGGGAATCAAAGGGGAATTTACCAAATTTGCAGATGATACTAAGCTGGCAGGAATAGCTAACATCCTAGAAGATAGGCTCAAGATCTAGATGGATCTTGACAGACTTGAACACTGGGCCCTATCTAACAAAATAAAATTCAATGTAGAGAAAAGTAAAGTCGACAATTATGGCCGAAAGATTAAAAAAATTCTTAGAAAATTTTATCCACTCTGATCAAAATGGCTTTCTGCCCAGACGATATATAAGAAATAACATTAGGATTATATTAGATATTATGGAATACTATGAGCCTCACAATGAAAAACAGATGGTACTAATATTTGCTGATGCACAGAAAGCATGTGATAATGTTAAATTCATTTTAAATCAACTAAATTCATTTTAAATCAACTAAAGTATATGGAATTTGGGAAAAATTTATAAGGATGTGCAGAGCAATTTACTTGGAACAAGAAGCAAAAGTGGTAATTAATGGGGAAATAACAAAGAACTTCCAAATTTAGAAAGGCACAAGACAGGGCTGTCCACTATCGCCCCTACTGTTTATTTTATCGTTAGAAACATTAAATAGAGTAATTCGAGAAGATATTCAAATTAAAGGCTTGAAGATCAGAAATGAAATTTTTAAATTGCAAGCATTCGCAGATGATGTCATCTTTATTATTGAAGAGCCAATGCAATTGGGCGTACGATTATGGAAGTACTGGAGGAATATGGGGAGGTAGCCGGCTTAACGATAAATAAGGACAAAACGAAAATGTTAGTAAAAAACATGACAGAGGAGCAAAAAAGAGATATAGAGGGAAAATTGATATTCAGATAGTTTAAAAAATTAGATATCTAGAGATTCAATTGACATCAAGATGCGTGACGCTTAAAGAGGAAAATTACAATAGACTAATTGAGCAAATTAAAATTGATTTAGAAAGATGGGGAAGATTGCAACTCTCCTTTATGGGGAGGATTGCTACGATTAAGATGAACATGCTACCCAAAATTTTATATTTATTTCAATGTATACCAATCCGGCTCAAAAATGATTTATTTACAAATTTGAATAGAATCATAGCAAAATTTATATGGCAGGGCAAAAAGCCAAGAATTAAATTAAAATTATTACAAGATGCAAAAGGAAGAGGAGGATTTGGCCTTCGAAATTGGAAAAAATATCGGCAAACTGCAACCCTGGTTTGGGTAAGTGATTGGCTACACCTCAAAAATAGAAGACTGTTGACACTAGGACATGACCTTCAAATAGGGTGACACGCTATCATCTGGAAAGAGAAGTATAAGGTTCACCAGTACTTCCAAAGGCATTATATTAGGCGGGCACTTTTAGATATTTGGATCAAGACCAAGAGAAGTAATTATATAGACATCCCCAATTGGATATCAACAGTAGAAATGCTCACATATCCTAATCTTCTCAAAATGGGAGGGGCTATTACATATAAAGAATTACTAAACATGAACAGGGAATTAAAATCAAGGAAGGAATTAAGTTAAAGTTAAATCAAGTTAAAGGAAGAAGGAATTGAATTAAAATGGTGGATATACCTACAAATACAATCCAAATTTACAAAGGATAAAAAAGAGCGAGATATAAAATTAGAATCATTAGAACTGGATAAAATTTTACTAAGCACAGAGGGAAAGGCCATAAAAAAACTGTACCACTATTTATTAGAACAAGATATGCTTAAAGAACAAGTTAAGGAGACGATAATAACTTGGAGTAGATGTTTTGGGTACAGTATTGATTTGGACAATTGGCAAAATCTATGGGGAAAAATATCAAAATTACACTGGCGGCTTCTTATAAAGAAAACCTGTATAAAATGTTCTACAGGTGGCCCTTCCCACCCACAAGATTGGCAAGAATTAGTAAAAAAATACTCCCCAATTTGTTGGAAATGTGAGGTGGAACTGAGGTCATATTACCATATGTGGTGGGAGTGCTCAAAAGCCAAACGTTTTTGGCAGCAAAAAAGGAGCTGGTTAGAAGAGACGTTAATGGTCAAAATAGAATCCAGAATTTTTCTTACTGGGCATGACAGATGGCAAATATGACAAAAATGTAACCTATTTAATATTGCATATACTTACCACAGCAAGACTAGCATTTGCTCAAAAATGGAAGTGTAAAGAAATACCCTCAGAAGAAGAAGTAATACACAAAATTTACAGCTGTGCAGAGATGGACAGACTTACTTTAGAACTCAAAGTGAATCAAAATACTATGAAGTCTGGAATAAATTTTATAACTGGTTAGATAAGAGGAAAAATGCCAAAAACAAAGGATAACAAATATCTGGAAATGTACAGTATATATCAATGTATATTAATATATCAATGCATATTAAATTTGTGAATGTAAATACTTGCATAGTTGATTAGGAAATAAAATACTGTATACTTGATATATAATGAAGTAGGAGATATGTAAATTTGTATATAGAGCAAGGAATAGACTACTTATTAACTTGATTTTGATGTAAATGTTAGAAACCAGAGACGTTGAGCAATGTCCATTGTTTACTTTTAAAACTAATAAAAGATTTTTTAAAAAATAAGTAAAGTCCTACACTTAGGTAAGAAAAACCAAAAGTACACATATAAACTGGGTGAAACCAGGCTTAATAGCAGTGACTGTGAGAGGGATCTTGGAGTCTTAGTGGACAACCAGCTAAGTATGAGCCAGAAGTGTGCAATGGCAGCCAAAAAAGCCAATGCAATCCTAAATTGCATTAACAGAAGGATACAATCAAGATCAAGTGAGGTACTAATACCACTCTATAAAGCCCTAGTAAGACCACACCTAGAGTACTGCATCCAGTTTTGGTCACCACACTATTAAAAAGATGTTGAGACTCTAGAAAAAGTTCAGAGGAGAGCAACCAGAATGATTAGGGGACTGGAGAGTAAAACATATGAAGAACGGTTACAGGAAATGGGCATGGCTAGTCTAGTGAAGAGAAGGACCAGGGGAGACATGATAGCAATGTTCCAATATTTGAGGGCCTGCCACAGAGAGGAAGGGGTCAAGCTATTTTCCAAAGCACCTGAGGGCCAGACAAGGAACAATGGATGGAAACTGATCAAGGAGAGATTCAACCTAGAAATGAGGATAATTTTTCTGACAGTGAGAACAATCAACCAATGGAACAGCTTGCCTTCAGAAGTTGTGGGAGCTTCATCACTTGAGACTTTCAAGAAAAGATTGGATTGCCATTTGTCAGAAATGATGTAGGGTCTCCTGCTTGGGTGGGGGTTGGGGGTTTGGGCTAGAAGACCTATAAGGTCCCTTCCAACTCTGTTCATCTGTTAAATCTGTCAAATGGATAAACTTAGCTATGCTGGAGCTATGTTGGAGAAGTATACACACCCACATATTTTTTGAAACAGAGCATTGACCATATCACATCATATCATATACAATTTATCATATTGAAATGTATTTTACTTTGTTACTGTTTCTGCCAAAGTGTTCTTTTTCCATATTTATTAATCAACTTTTAATTTTTCTTTTTTTATTTCTATAAACAGTATCTTCTTCACCCTCAAATTCTATTTTCCCATTCTTAATCATTTTACATTCTCCTTTAATTTTTTAAAAATAGTTCATTCTTTATCTTGATATAGTTAAATGTTTTCGGGGATGCCTTTCCTCCATTTCCTCTTTTTTGTGTTACAGCAATCTTTCTTCTCTTCCTCTCCCTCCCTTCTTTTATCCTTTCTACCTTCTTCTTCCCTCCTCTCCTATTCCTTCTCTACTTCCCTTTCCTTTCTCCCCCTCCTTCCTTCCTTCCCTCTATCTAACCTTCTCTCCTACTCTTATTTCCCTTTCCTGTCTTCCTCTCCTCTTCCCTTCCTTCTGCTCCTCTCTTTCCTTCTCCCTTCCTTCAATCTCCCTCCTCCTCCTTCTATCTCTCTCTGTTGCTGTTTTTATTTTCAATTCAGTGTTTTTTTATGGTGTCCAGGCATCCCCATTTTTCTTCTCTTTATATCACATATTTCTCAAGATTTCCATCATATTATTAAAATTCTTAACATTATATTTCAACTTATTTCATATTTACCTTAAAATATTTTCAATTTAATTAACTTTCCACCCTTATTTCATTTCAATAGTTATTTTCTTTTTCCCTATCATTTCAATCACTTCCAATTATTTTTACATTTAGACCATTCTACATCTGCTGGTCCGCTTACAACATTATCTAACATTTCAATTTCATTTCTTTCTTTCAACATACATTTTTTAACTTTCATTTCAACTTTATATCTTAATTTCACTGCAGAATTTGAAGAGAAGAAAAAAAAGCATGGTCTTGCTTTCTTTTAACAATGTTTCCTCACAAACCTTAACCATGAAGAAGGCCAATATGACCAACTAACCTAAAGATTTAGTCTGTTGTATTAATAAAATTTCCCATTTCTGTGGCACACTTACTGTATATTCAGGCCAAACCATGCAGAAACACAGGTTTTTTTTAAAAATTTGAGACCAAACTCTGAAATAATGCTTTGTAGATTATTTACTATACTCAGCAGTAATACTAACCTGGTTGAGTTTCTAAGAATTTCTGTCCCTCTACTCCAGGTAATTTTTGGTTTAGGAGCTGCTCTAGGCTTGCACTCAATTATAGCCTGTCCTCCTTTTGCAGCCAAAACCTCTTTCTTCATTGGGTAGAATTCAAAGGTTGGAGGTAAAACTGTGAAGAAAAATATAATTTCCAAAGAATTTTACAGTAATTAGACAACACAATAACAATTTAAAATACTACAAATTATGCAAATAGATTTCTACTGTACAATAAGCATTTTATACTTTTTTCCACATTCCACAAATCTTTAAATATGTAGAATTCTTCAGATCAAACATGGAGTTTGTATAAGGCTAATGAGGAATCAATTTGTTTTCAATGGAACAATCCCACAGCATAAAATATAATAAACTATCACATATTTATATCTAAATATAAAGCCACTATGGGAAAAAAAATATTCAAATTGTTCAAAAAGAAAAAACGTGGTCATGTGACTCTAAGAACATGCAAACAGCCACAAATACAGGCTGGTTGATGAGCACCTGATATGTGGTCACATGACCAGGGGGCAGCTGATTGTTGTTATTGTATTTTCTACCTAAAATGTTTTATTGGTGGAGCTCCCCAGACTTATGGTGCTGGGGAACTTCAACCTGCCTTCCCTGGGCGGGGTGGCGGGGGTGGCTCGGGAGTTCATGGCATCCATGGCGGCCATGGACCTGACTCAGATTATTCAGGGACTGACTCATGAGGGAGGGCATACACCGATCTTGTTTTCATCTCGGCGCAGTGGTGTGTTATGCTCGGTGGGGGGGTATTTGTCGTTTTCCCCGTCATGGACTGACCATCATCTCCTCCGGTTGGAATTCCAGAATGCCGCCCCACCTTGCTGGGATGCTGTTGTGACTCCGACCCCTGAGCCCGTCTTATCGGAGAGAGAAGACTCCGAAAGTGAAGGAGAGGAGTTGGCAAGGCCTCCCTCTCCAGGACCCTCCTCTCTGGCAATGCCTCAGGTGTCTTCCGAAGGAGAAGAGATACGCCAGGAGCCAGGCATTTCCGAGCAGCCGCAGTTAGACAGCGACGGAGATAAGTCTTGGCTGGATCCCCGACAGTGTTGGAAAGACAAGCACACGCAGCAGAGAAGGGGGCATGCCAAAGATTAAGCTGAGTCACTGGAGCACACCCCACAGGGGATAAAAGGGGGTGTGGTGGCCATTCAGGCTTTGTGACGGACAAAACTGAAAGCTAGCAAGTCATTCTGTATTTCTGGAACTTGCTTGGACTAATTTTTTGGACTGGACTTGACTATTCTTTGGCTTTTGTGGACTTTGATGTTTTTGGTCAGAGGAGATAAACCTCCGTTTGTAAGTAAAAACTATTGGCAAGCAGCCACTGGGTTGCTGCCAATTCTGTTATCAAAGGAAATTCTTGTCTGTTAGTTTATTTTAACTCTTGGTCGACTGCTGGTGTGCGTGTGTGAGACGGGGACAGAACAGATGCGGAACCGACCATCTGTTTCCACCCCAGGCACCTGATGGACCCAGAGAGGTTCCAGACGGAGCTTGGGATGATCCCTCTCTCTCTCTCCCACACCCCGGTCAAGACCTTGGTGGAGACCTGGGATAGGGCGGCCGCTGGGGCTCTCGACCGTGTCGTGCCTTTGAGGCCTCTGACCCGGCGCAGATCCTGGCTTGCCCCTTGGTATACTGAGGAGCTCCGGGGGATGAAGCGCAGGAGGACAGGCCTAGAGAACTGTTGGAGGACTAGTTGTTCCGAATCTGACCGAGCCCATGGTTTTACCTGAAGGCGATGGCGGCGGCGAAGTGTACATACTTCTCCACCCTCATCGCGTCTGCAGATAATCGCCCGGCTGCCCTGTTTAGGGTATCCCGCTCCCTCCTGTATCAGAGGGCGGGGGAGGACCCTTTGCGGGGGCGAGCCGAGGAGTTTAGCCAACATCTGCGGGACAAGATCGCTCAGATTCGGGACAGCTTGGACTCTGACTGGGCAGGGTCGGATGGTGGGGAAGCGGCGGGTCTTGTTGTCTGGGAAGAATTCGATCCTGTTACCCCGGAGGAAGTGGACAGGATCATGAGAAAGCTGAGTGTGACCACTTGCATACTGGACCCATGTCTCTCCTGGCTGGTTTATGCAGCTCGGGAGGTGACACGTAGTTGGATCCAGGCAGTGATAACGGCATCCTTGGATGGAGGGAGTTTTCCCACTGCCTTGAAGGAGGCGGTGGTTAGGCCCCTCCTTAAGAAACCTGCCTTGGATCCAACCATTTTAGGCAACTTTCATCCGGTCTCCAACCTTCGCTTTTTGGCTAAGGTTGTTGAGACCATGGTGGCATGTCAGTTTCTGGTGGCCCTGGATGAAGCAGATTACCTAGATCCGTGCCAATCGGGTTACAGGCCCGGTTACAGCACGGAGACAGCATTGGTCGTGCTGGTGGATGCTCTCTGGAGGGCTTGGGACAGGGGTCATTCCTCGGTCCTGGTCCTATTAGATCTCTCGGCGGCTTTTGATACCATCAACCAAGGTATCATATTGCGATGACTTGAGGGGTTGGGAGTGGGCGGCTACCGTTTTACGGTGGTTTGTCTCCTACCTCTTGGGTCGTACGCAAGTGGTGTTGGCAGGGGGGCAGAGGTCGGCCATGAGGCCCCTCACTTGTGGGGTGCCCCAGGGGTCGGTCCTCTTGCCCCTTCTGTTCAACATTTACATGAAACCGCTGGAAGAGATCATCCATGGTTTTGGGATGGGGTATCATCAGTATGCTGATGATAAGCTTTTTATATCCACCCCGAACCAGCCCAGTGATGCCCTCGACGTGATGTCCCGGTGCCTGGAAGCAGTACGGATCTGGATGGGGAGTAACAGGCTTCAACTCAACCTGGCCAAGGCCGAGTGGCTGTGGATACCGGCATCTCGGGCCGAGCAAGAAGTTCCAATGCTGTCTATTGGGGGCGAGGTGTTGCCCCCCATAGACAGGGCACGCAACTTGGGCATCCTCTTGGATTCATGGCTGAGTTTGGAGGGTCATATCACTGCCGTGACCAGGGAGGCATTTGCCCAGGTTCTCCTGGTGCGCCAGTTGTGCCCATACTTGGACCGAGATGCCCTACACACAGTCAGTCATGCTCTAGTCACCTCCCGGATCGACTACTGCAATGCTCTCTACCTGGGGCTGCCCGTGAAGACCACCCGGAGGCTTCAGCTGGTACAGAATGCAGCCACACGGATTGTTGCGGGAGGGACTCGATACTCCCATATTACACCACTCCTGCACGGTTTGCATTGGTTGCCGGTTGCCCTCCGGGTGAGATTCAAGGTGCTGGTGTTAACCTATAAAGCCCTTCATGGCTTAGGCCCAGGCTATTTGTTGGACCAGCGTCAACTTCCCATCGCCCGGTGTGCTCTTACAGAGAGGGCCTACTCAGGGTGCCGTCGGCTAGACAATTTCGGCTGGTGACCCCCAGGGGTAGAGCCTTCTCTGTGAGCGCCCCCACCCTTTGGAATCAACTTCCCTTGGGGCTCCGGTTGGCCCCTGACCTCCGCCGTGAATTGAAAACCTGGCTATTTATGTCCCCCGGCTTGGACTGATGGGGTAGTATATTTTAAAGTTTTTAAAAACTTTTTAATTTTTGTGTGTATATTTGTTGTTTTTAACAGTCGCTTGGTCGATTGTCGTTGTAAAACGCCCCGAGTCCTCGGAGATAGGGCGGCATACAAATTTTATAAATAAATAATAAATAAAATAATAATGTAGTATAATATACTTACCAATAACTTTTAATTCAGCATTTGAATAAATCATTCCATGTATATTTTCTGCTACACATTGATACATGCCTGAATCTTCAAGCTTCAGACTAGAAAATCTCAATTCTCCTTTCCAATACTGTGAGTAAAACACATAGTAAAAATAGATAATGATAAATTTCAAGATAATAATGATTGTTGTTTGATTTTTTTCTTCTCCTTACATCTTACCCTACCTTAATTTTTTAAGGCAAACATAGATTTTTTAGTTTGGTTTCATTGGATAACAGCTTTTGTCAGACTTGCCCCAATCTGATACCTTAGGAAAGAAAAACCTTCAATTCCATTTGGTTAAAGCAAAGGGTTCTTTTACTAAGAGTGGTGGTTGCAATAAAGTCAAGCCAGCTCTGACAGTACCTCACTTGGTGAATACAAAAATAAGATAAAGTCCATTTCCAATCCGTTTCCAGCCAACCAGAGCTCGCCAAGATGTTTTGAAACTCTGGGATGTTTGGAGAGTAATACACATTTTTCTCAGGGTGCCTGTCCATGGGATGCTGGTACAAACAGGAACCGGCTGCTATGGTCCTTCTCATCTGTCATTCCCCCCTCCCGATTTCCTATCATGTACACACAAAGGTTTATTGTCCTTTCATCCTTCCTTCTTTCATCCTTCTCCCCTTCTTCCCCCTTTCATCCTACCCCCCCCCATTTTCTTTTTATGGCAGGATGCCTGTGAGCCCCTCCCCCCAAGCCGAGCCAGGCAATCTGATATTCTTCCCCCCTTGACAGTGACATTAGTCCTGCAAAAAGGAAAAGAGAGGGGAGGGAGAGATACACAAAATTTCCCAATTAATAGGCAGTCCAATGCAGCTTATTTAGGTAATGGTCATGGATTTTTAAAGCAATCTGGAGGCTTTAATATGTTGGGAGTCAACCCATTCAGTTTCTGAGGGGAGAAATCTTTCCAGACTACCAAATACTAAGTTTTTCCCTGATGTATGTGAGAGTCCAAAATGTCTTTGATTTCAAAGTGCTGCTCTTCCTTGATCATAATGGGGTTGGGAGGTGCTTGCAATTTGTGACACAGAGAAGATGTGATTTCTGATTTCAGTAGGCTACAATGAAATACCAAGTGTACACATCTGAACATTTTTGGCAGCTCAAGTTCTACAGTTATGGGTTAATAATCCTCTTGATGGGGAAAGGTCCAACGTATTGTGGCACCAATTTCTTTGACGGTTGTAGATTGTAGGAATTTGGTAGAGAGATAGACCTTGTCTCCCACCTTAAAGTCCTTTGGCTTGATGCACTTTTTATCAGCCTGTTTTTTGTATGTTTCCCTAGCTTCATCCAAAACTTTTCTCACCACTGGCCAGGTGTTCTATCCTGGGGCAACCCAATCTATCAGCGATGCAGTCAATGGGGTGACCTGAGGTAGTTCAGGGATAGATACAGAGGTGGTATTCAGCCGGTTCTGACTGGTTCTGGTGAATCGGTAGCGGAAATTTTGAGTAGTTTGGAGAACCGGCAAACACCACCTCTGGCTGGCCCCACCCCTAATCTATTTGCTACCTCCTGAGTCCCAGCTGATTCCCAGTTGATCGGTTGGGTCTTCTTTGGTTGCCCTGCACAGGAGAATGGAGCTGGAAAGCAGGTTAGTTGGGTGGGGAGGGAATGGTGATTTTACAGTATCCTTCTCCTGGAGTGGGGTGGGAATGGAGATTTTACAGTATCCTTCCCCTGGAGTGGGGTTGAAATGGAGATTTTACAGTATCCTTCCCCCTGGAATGGGGTGGAAATGGAGATTTTACAGTATCCTTCCCCCTGGAGTGGGGTGGAAATGGAAACTTTACAGTATCCTTCTCCTGGAGTGGGGTGGAAATGGAGATTTTGCAATATCCTTCCACTGCCATGTCCACCAAGCCACACCATACCCATCAAGCTATACCCACAGAACCGGTAGTAAAAATTTTTGAATCCCACCGCTAGATAGATACCAAGACTTGTCCTATGGCCAGTTTAAATGGAGTGTACCCGGTGCTACTGTGCACTGAGTAGGCAATCTCCATGAAAGAGAGGATGCCCACCCAATTGTCTTGTTGGTAATTAATGTATCATCTGAGGTACTGTTCCAGGACGCCTTTGGCCCTTTTGCAGCCCATGTTAGTAGCCAGATGATGAAAGAATATGAGCCCCTGAGTGGTCCCCAAATGTTTTAGGAAATCCTGCCAAAGCCACCAATTGGACTCCGCAATATGAGATGATTGTTTCTGGAGCACCATGCAGCCAATAAATGTGCTGCACAAATAGTTTAGCCAAAGCATGTGCTGAGGGGATTTTTTGACAGGTATAAAGTGCACTTCCTTGGAGAACAGATTGGTTATCACCCAGATCACTGTATTCCCCGAACATTTGGACAGTTCTACAATAAAATCCATTGATAACTCTCTCCATGGGACTTTGGGCTCTCTACTGGCTGGAGAAGCCCGGGTATTTTCCCTTGTCGCCTCTTGGCAGAAGCACAAATGGGGCAGCTAGCCACAAAGCTCTCTATGTCCTTTTTCAGTGATGGTCACCAAAATTGCTGCTTGATTAGGTGTAGGGATTTTACGAAGCCAAAGTGCCCTGCCACTTTTAAATCATGACTTTTTTGTAAAACCAAGTGATACTGTCAATCAGTTGGGAGAAGGGAGAGACTTGGATTCGATTTACTAGCATTGCCTGTGTCAACAGATATTTTACAACCTATATCCTGGCACCAAAGAGCCCTGAGATCCTCTTAACGTGGAGGAATGTTTATGATAGCCATGTGGGTTGTTTCACTTTAAAGGATAACGGTGTGAATGCATGTGTGTTCGGGTTCTCAGGGAAACTAGTAAAGAAAACATCTTCACACTTGTGTATTGGCTAAAATCTGCATTCTGACTTAAAGGGAGGGGTCTCTACTGCTTTAACTTGTCTTGCCTAAGGGTATTCAGATCTTGCTTTAACTGGGTTGCTATCACTTCTGCTTAATAAAAGGATCCTTTTGAACTATCACATTTCAAAAGTCTTTACTTTCTTGCATTCCCAAACAAAAAGTGTGTGGATTCACTGGAAATGTTGCAAATGGAGTTTCAAATTAGATTTAAAGAGCTTCGTGCACATGAACAGGACATACAGCTTTTCCGGAACCCATTTTCTGTTGACATCGAAATTGTTGATCCAATTTACCAAATGGAACTGGCTGAACTACAGAATTGTGACTCTCTGAAAGACACATTCAAGTCAAACAGCCTTACTGATTTCTATGCATCTCTCCCCTCTGAGACATATCTTCATCTCAGGAACCATGCACTCAAAATGGTAACCATCTTTGGCAGCACCTATATCTGTGAACAGACTTTTTCCCGAATTAAACAACTGAAATCTCCAACCAGATCCAGACTAACTGATGAATACTTGCATCACTTGTTACGACTGGCAGTGATAAATATGGAACCGGACATTGACTTTCTCATCAGCCAAAAACAGGCCCACACTTCCCATTGAATTAGTATATTTTTGTTGGTTAAAATCGTTCTTCATTTTAAATATTGTATTATTTAACTTTTTTTGCACTACAAATAAAGATATGTGCAATGTTCATATAAGTTTGTTTATGTTTGTTTCAAACTATAGTCTGGACTCCAACAGTTTGAGGGACCATTATCCCTCCTTAATTCACAATTGGATGCTTGGGGTGTATGTGTGTGTGTGTTGATTCTCGCCTTCTGCCTGCTTCCAATGTCTCTCAATGCTCATCTTGGGGGTTTTAGTTGCAGTCTTAATTGCTGCAGTTCTCAGTCTTGTTTATTGTGTGGTCATCTGAAACATGATCAGGAGTCATTTTGAAGGAAATCCTGTTTGTTTTATTCCTTTTTCAATGGACTATTTTAAGGAACCTGAAGCTGCTGTTGTAATGAAATTAGGCAAGTGGCAAGAAAGTTTTTTTCCCTTTGGGGGGTGGTTCTTATTAAGTAAATAATAAGAGGAATAATAATAATTCCTTGGCTTGAGCAAGAACAGCTTAGGAAGGAGAAAGACATAAAATGGACAGTTAAATTGGCCACATCCACCCAATCACATGACCGCCTAGCCATGCCCCCCCCCCAGCCAGTTCGGCCCCCCCAACAGTCTGAGGGACTGTGAATCGGCCTCCTGTTTAAAAAGTTTGAGGACCCTTGCCCTAGAAGATAGGCTCAAGATTCAGATGGATCTTGACAGACTTGAACACTGGGCCCTATTTAACAAAATAAAATTCAATGTAGAGAAAAGTGCCTTACACTTAGGCATGAAAAACCAAAAGGCCACCCCAGGCCACCCCAACGATGCCCTTGAAGTGATGTCCCAGTGCCTGGAGGCCGTGCGGGCCTGGATGGGGGGAAACAGGCTCCGACTCAACCCTTCCAAGACCGAGTGGCTGTGGCTTCCAGCGTCCCGATATAGCCAGCTGGTGCCATCGCTGGCTATTGGGGGCGAATCACTGGCCCCCATGGAGAGGGCTCGCGACTTAGGCATCTTCCTGGATGCACGGCTGTCTTTAGAAGAGCACATGACGGCCGTGGCCAGGGGGGCTTTTTATCAGGTTCGCCTGATACGCCAGTTGCGCCCCTTTCTGGATCGGGACTCCCTACGCACGGTCACTCAAGCACTCATCACTTCCCGCCTGGACTACTGCAATGCTCTCTACATGGGGCTCCCCTTGGGGTGCACCCGGAGCTGCAGTTAGTCCAGAATGCGGCCGCGCGGGGGATTATGGGAGCGACGGGGCGCTTACATATGACACCTCTCCTGCGCGAGCTGCACTGGCTTCCTGTGGTCTTCCAGGTGCGCTTCAAGGTGTTGGTGACCACCTTTAAAGCACTCCATGGTTTAGGGCCGGGGTATCTGCGAGACCGCCTTCTGCCGCCAATAGCCTCCCACTGACCGGTTCGCTTGCACAGAGAGGGCCTCCTTAGGGTGCCGTCGGCCAGACAGTGCCAGCTGGCGACCCCCAGGGGGAGAGCCTTCTCTGTGGCAGCACCTGCCCTCTGGAATGACCTACCCCCTGAGATACGCACAATATCAGACCTCCGGACTTTTCGTCGGGCCCTGAAAACACACTTATTCCATCTA